AAGTACTATAATAATAGCAGTTCTAAATATACTACGCAATATCTCCTAATATTCTATCCTAATAATAGTTGCGGCGTAGTATTTAAAATATTATATTCTTTCCTAGATATCCTACTAAACCTAATTTATATACTTACTATATAATAGTAGTTATAAGGGGTTCCTATATTAGTAACTAAATAACGCCCCTCTAAAGCAAAGTGCTATATGCGCTAATTATATAGTCCCTAATCTATTGCTTTATATTAGTAGAAACTAGGAAAGACCTAGCGCCTTTCTAAACTATATTAAGACGCACTTAGTATATCTTATCTTCTAATACTACTTTATCCTATAGTGTCTATATATATAGGTTAGCAAAAAGGCTAGCACCCTTTAGTAACTTAGACGCCTCCTCTACTTCTAATACTATAACCTAAATTAATTTAGGGCGTATTACTAACTATAGTATTACTTTAGAGGAGTTTAAGTCTTATAGTTACCTACTTAAGGTATTAGGTTATTCTATAAGATAGCTAGGCCTATACTATAGGATATACTAATATTTTAAAAGTTCCTCTACCTAGTAGCACTATTACTTGCTTAAGCTTTAAAGGCTAGTAAAGTACTCTAGGTTTTTATAGTCTATAAATATTATAAATAGTTTATAAACACTTTATAACTCTACTAACTAGCTTTTAAGATACTTAATAATAGCTAGTAATTCCTTATTATATATAGTGTAGTTTTGTCTCTCTAGCGTTAATACTATAGAGTAGTAAGTAACTAGGCGCTAGACGCCCCTAACTTTTTACAATAAGTAACCCCTAAGAGCGTATCTTAAATAGTCTACTTCTAATAATATTTCTTTAGCTAGGTCCTATTATATTAGTACTAGTCTAGATATAAATGCCTTTTTTAGTGTATTAAATACACTCTATTCTTCCTCTCCCTATTAGAATAGGGTATCCTTCCTAGTTAGTTAGTTTAAAGGCGCTACTACTTTAGAAAACTTTATAATAAAATTATAGTAGAAGTTAGTAAAACCTAGAAAACTCCTTACCTCTCTTATATTCCTAGGGGGTTCCTATTCCTATACTACCCTAAGCTTTTTAGGGTTAGGTCTAAGTAATTTACCTACCTTAATAATATAGCCTAGGTAGCGTACCTCCTTAATACTAAACACACACTTCTCTAAGTCTAGGTGTAGTCCTACTTCTTTTAATAGCGTAAGTACACGCTTTACTTTTTCTATATAGTTAAACTAGTCTCCTCCTAAATAAATTAGGATATTATTAAGGTAGGCTATTATATATAATCTAAGTAACTCTATAAGTGTAGTATTAATATATTATTAGAAAGTAGATAGCGCACTACTAAGACTAAATAGATATACTAACTATTTATATAACCTAAACTAGGTATAGAAAGCTATTAAGGACTTATAACCTTCTACTATTCTAACTTTATAAAAGGTAGTGTAAATATCTACTTTTATAAACTAATTTACACTAGATAGTGTGCGTAAAGTTTCCTTAATAAGTAGTAGTAGGTATTAGTCTAATATTATTATGCTATTAAGCATCTAGTAATCTATATAAAGGCGCTAACTACCTAATAGCTTCTTTACTAGTAATACTAGAGCTCTAGCTATAGAAGAGCTTACTTAGATCTAGCCCTTATCTATTAATCTAGTAAGTTATATTCTTAGTTCTAGCAATTAATTATAAGATATAGGGTACAGGGGACCCTATAGGGGGTTAGGCTAGGTTCTATCTAGGAGAGTTATTAACTAAATATAGTAATCTATACTACCCTAATAGGGTAGTAAACTACTTACTAACTCTTTGTTAAATAGGTCCCTAAACTCTTATAGTTCTAGTAGTAACTTTGTCTTTCTAGTTTTATACTTAGGCTTATAGGGAACTATACTATTAGTAATATAGATAGTGTGTATATAAATAGGACTTCCCTTATTAACACTTCCTAGATATTTTATTAGGTGTAAGTTATATATTACCTATAAAATATCTAGTATATTTATTATAAATATTTATACCTATATATCTTCCTATTAGGGTCCTTAATTTAGTAACCCTACTATAACTAAACCTAAAATAATAAAGATATAGGTAGGATATAGGTGTCTCCTGCTCTCCTATACTACTATATTTCCTGCCTTCCTAATTATTAATTTACCTTATAGAATATCTATAATAACACCCTCTCTATATAGCTATAGTCTACCTAGTATTAGTTAATAGGAGAGACTAGGTACTATATAGGCTAAAAGCTAAGACCGCTAACTATCTAAATTATAGTCTAATACTACTAACTATAAAATTCTTGTACCCTTAGCAATTCCCTAGGTATATTATAAAGGTTGCAGGGGAATATCTATAAAGTTCCTACTAATCTATCTTACTAACTTTTCCTTAACTATACTAAAACACTAGTACCCTAAATTAACTATTGCTTACACGTTCTCTACTCTACCTAGGAGGAGGGGAATAAAGAAAGGAGGATTATTTAACCTAGCCTTAATATCTAGGGGATACTTAATAGCCTCTACTATTAATAATTCCTCTATTATAGTATCCTCCTTATACCCCTAACTTAGCCTAAAGTTAGAGGTAGCTAGTTTCTTAAATTAGAGCCGCTTGCTAATACTACAACTATCTTAACACCTACTAGTTATAGTAATAGGGTATTAGGGTATATACATATAAAATAACTACCCTATCTATACTAGGTATAGACCTTTGCTAGTTTCTATATATTAAATAGGTCTTATAGGATCTAGTTAGGACGTAATATTAGTAGTTTAGTAGGTGCACTTAATAAGGCTACTACTTCTACTATATTTGTGTTACTATCCTAATCTAAGTTAGACTTCTACTAGGGTTCCTTAGACTTACTAGCCTAAAGAAAACCTAGTTCTAGAGAGGCTATTTTAATATCTACTATAATTATCTTATATTCCTCTATAGCTATATTATAGTTTATCCTAGAGACTCCCCTATTAAGGGAAACTAAGTATATATAACTATTAAGAGATTACTAAAGTTATAAAAGCTTCTATTTATTATTCTAGTATAAACCTCCTAATTATATAAGGAGCTATATAAAATTTATAAAGAACTCTATAAAAGGCTAATTTTAGCCCTAATATAAGTGTTCTAATATAACTTAGGCACGCTCCTACCTATAATAATTACTATAATAAAATACTAGGTAGTTAAGAAACCTGCTTATATCCTATTACTTACATGTACTATCCTTAAAGTATAGTGCTATAGCGCGCTAAACTATAGGTAATAACTAGGACTAAATATATATAAACCTTGCCTCCTTATCCCTAATAAAGACCTTATCTACACGTAGTTTAAACTCTATAGTTATTTACTAGGAGGAGAAGTTTACCTTAGTGCTATTATATAGTAAGCTAACTAGGAAGGGTTTATAATATAAGGTAGGAGAGGGTAGAGGTAGTATATTATTAAACCTAGTAGGCTTAGAGAAGGGTTAGGATAGAATCTAATTATGTATTTCCTTATTCTATTAATATAGTATAGCTATTATAGCAGAGTCTTAAGCCTATTATTCTATTAATCTATAGACCTATTATATTAGCCTTTCTACTATATTAGGTTGCACCTAGTTATTCTAAATATCTAGCGTGTCTATCTCTTATTACTATTATAGTATATTTAGAAGAAGATACTAAAATATTATAGACTAGCCTTAAGGGAGAATATAATAAGCGTTAATAATAGTATTTAGTATCTTAAAGGAGAGGTAAGCCCTTAGCGCCTTTTTATAGGTGTGCAATGTGTTCGCTTAGTAGTAGTATTAGACTTAGTCTATCTTATATTAGACCTAGGCTTAGGCATAAGCCTAAGCCCTTTATATAAAGCTATAAAGGGAGTAAATACTATAATATTAAGTAGCTAAAGGGTATAAGTGCTATAAGGGGGATACATTATAAGTAGGATCTTATATTTATTATAGTACTTAATAAACTCTATTATTATATAAGATCTATAGCTATTAAGGATAAGGAGCTAGTATAAAGTATAAGCTTTAGCTTTTGTCTTATAATTAAACACCTTCTTAAGCTAGGATACCCCTAGGGTGTAGCTTATCTACCTACTTAGTAATCCTATAAAGAAAGCTTAGTATTATAATAGGTTAAAATCTTATAACTAGGTATTATATAAAGCTCTAGATTAGGACTAATAAATAAGGGTAGAGGTAAGAGTAGTACTATTAGCGTATATACAAGCTATAGTAGTAATCTACTCCTTATTACTATCCTAGAGTATAGCTCTAATCTTTCTCTACTTATAGGCGCTCTTATTAAATATATATTTAGTTTTTAATAGTACTCTAATAAGAAAACCCTTCTTATCTATATTATAGATATACTAACTTTTAATATTATATTACTCTATTTTTTAGTATAAAAGCTTAAAGTATAAGCTATACTTAAAGGTAGAATTAGCTTTAAAGTAGTTATAATTAAGCCTAGTAGCCTAATAGAAGATAAGATTAATATTATAGTAGTTAATAAAGCACTATACCTAATTTTTACCTACTAGATTCCCTATTATTTTAGTTATAAAATTTTAAATAATAGTCTATATAAGGGGTAATCCTTACTTATAAAGCTCTTTAATATACTCTATAAGCTTACTTTCTTATATAGTATTAAGTATTTAACTATTTAGTAGAGTAGTAGTATATACTTACTAAATTTTCTAGTAGTATCTAGATAAGGTTAACTATAAGTAACTATACTTTTCTACTATTTCTAAGTATATAAAATCTTCTCTAAGAGTTAAGGATTTAATTACTACAAGCACGTTATTAATAGGTGCTATAGTTATTAAGAAATTTAGTGTTAAAAATTTAGTGATTTTGGTGTTGGTGGGCGCTTAGTGGGGGTGGGCGCTCGGTGGTGGATCACGTTACCAAGGTCCATTACCCACTTCTTCGGCTTGCACTTGAAACGTGCAAGCATGAACAGAGACTCAACATCCACGCAGTGTACATGACCTTTTCTTCCGAGGGGAGTTGCTCGATGCTAACGCATCGGTAGAAAAACTTCGACAATTGACCCAAAATCACTCGCCCGCACCAAAGAAGGCTTTCCGCGTCGCAATATTGATTACGTTGTCGCACTGAAATCAGATGAAATCACCAAGCAAGCCTGGAAGACGCTTGAACCGCTCTCTCTAGATGGCAGGAAAACCGTCAAATCCTGGAACCACGTAACAAGAGCGGATGTACTCCGCACCGAACCGATCGCTATCAACATAGAGACCAAAGGCCCCTACAAGTCATGGACAGATGGCAAGCCGCAGGTTGCAATATGGACTGATGCGTGGCTGAACCGTCTGGAGCGTCTGCCCCGCGCGCAAGAAAAGAGTGAGCCGTGGCCGGCGATCCCGCTCCTGATAGCTCAAGGGCATGACTGGCACCTGCTGGTCCTATCTAGAGATGGTGAGAAGACGATCATCTGGGACAAGATTGCTGTGGGAAGTACAAGGTCGTGTTTTGATGCTATGAAGCTAGTGGCGGTTTTGCACTGGTGCATGGATTGGGCGGAGACAGTGTGGCGACCATGGTTCTTGTCGTTGATATAAGATATTGATCCTGATAGATGTAGAAGTTTAAGTTCCTACTCATAATACTCGATGAGAAAATGAAGATGGAATTTGAGAAACGAGAGATGGGTGAGGGCAAAATGTGATGATTCATACATGGTCTTGGACTCTACAAGCTGTGTTCTTACTAAATAGCCCAGCTAGTTGGAGGATTGTAAATGATATACGTTTCAAGTAGCAATAGGCCATTGTCCGAGTTACACAGTTGCCGTTTTGGTCATACACAACCCGGTTTTGGTTCCCGACCGAGGTGCCAGTTGACCCGTGACTTACGGTAAAGTTATCCCATCAGCCGTCGCCAGCCGAGTATGAATGTAACATAGCAAAGCAGTTACGCTCCTACTCTACTCTAGAATGCACGACATTCCCACCGCAAATAATCCCACTCAGATAATCATTTGCTTTCAAACGAGGCCACAAAAAAAAAGGTTCCCATACAAAAGGAAAGAGACACAAAATGGCGTCCCTAACTCCCCGCCTCCTCACTCGCAGCCTTCGCCATATACGCAGCACAGCTCGCCCTCTCTCCCTCTCCACCCAACAACAACAACAACAACAACAACAACAACAACAACAACAACAACGCCATGCCTCGACCAGCAAGCACCCCACCAACTTCACACCCCCCTCACAAGCCGACCTCGACGAGCTCCGCGAATCCGTAATCGACTTTGCGCGGCGCGAGCTGCCCGAATCCGTCGCCGCCAAAACCGACCTCGACAACGCCTTCCCCAACGAGCTATGGCGGAAATTTGGCGAAGCGGGCTTCCTAGGCGTCACCGCGGACGAGCAGTTTGGCGGCCTGGCCATGGGCTACCAGGCGCACTGTGTGATTATGGAGGAGTTGTCGCGGGCGAGTGGGAGCATTGGCTTGAGTTATGCGGCGCATTCGCAGTTGTGTGTGAATCAGCTGATGCTGAATGGGAGTGCGGAGCAGAAGAGCAGGTATTTGCCTGGCTTGATTAGTGGGGACAAGGTTGGTGCGTTGGCGATGAGTGAGCATAGTGCGGGCAGTGATGTGGTTAGTATGAAGACTACGGCCAAGGAGGTGGATGGTGGATATTTGTTGAATGGGACCAAGATGTGGATTACGAATGTATGGTTTCTCTTCTTCTCTATATAGTCTTGTATCCCACTGTCACAGCCGAATCTAACACTCCACCAGGGCCCAGACGCCCACACAATCGTCGTCTACGCCAAAACGCAACCCGACGCCGCTTCCAAAGGCATCACCGCCTTCATCGTCGACACCACCACCCCCGGCTTCAGCGTCACCAAGAAACTCGACAAACTCGGCATGCGCGGCTCCAACACGGGCGAACTCGTCTTCGAAGACGTCTTTGTGCCGCGCGAAAACGTCCTCGGCCAGCTCAACCGCGGCGTCCGCGTCCTCATGGAAGGCCTCGATCTCGAGCGCCTCGTGCTCAGCGCCGGACCCCTCGGCCTCATGCAAGCCGCGCTCGACAACGCACTGCCCTACACCCACCAGCGCAAGCAATTCGGCATCCCCATTGCCCACAACCAGCTGGTCCAGGGCAAGCTCGCAGACATGTACACCAAGTTGCGCGCCTCGCAGAGCTTCACGTATGCGGTTGCCCGCGCGGTGGACGAGTCGTACCAGAGTCCCGATGTGAAGACGCAGGATTGCGCGGGCGCCATCTTGTATGCGGCTGAGAGGGCGAGCGAGGTTGCGGCAGATGCGATTCAGCTCATGGGCGGCATGGGCTATATGAATGAGGTACCAGTGGGCAGGATCCTGCGGGATGCAAAGTTGTATGAGATTGGGGCTGGGACGAGTGAGGTGCGGCGCATGGTGATTGGCCGGGCGTTTAACAAGCAGTGGAAACAGGATATCTAGAACAGGCAAGGGAAGGTGAGTAGTTTGTTCGAGGATGGAGAAGAAAAAAGTACAAACGTATAATTCGTTTTCAAGCCTTGACCGTTGCCTTTTTTTTATCACAGTGAAATTCCAATTCTTGGCTCTTTCTGGCGAGAGAGATGGGGAGTATGGTATGCTCATTGCCAGCCCAACACTTCACTCAACACCACCATTACCTCCCTTCCTCTTCTTCACCTAATATCACCAGCATACCCCACCCTCCAGAAAACGACGGCCACCACCACCGCCTTACATAACCGAACCCTCCAACTCACCCAACCTCCTCAAATCCATGGGCTCCTCCAAAAGCGGAAGCACATAGGGGTCAAACGTCTGCCAGTACGGATTCTCCAAGTGGTATTTCTGGCTCTGTGGTATGGTTAGCTTGATGTTTTCTATCCAGCTTTTACCGTTGTTCTCCTCTCTCCCTCGACTCCCTTCCTTTCTTGCACTCCCCAATACCTCCCCAAACCCCTCCTCCCTTCTCTCTCTCTAAAACAGGAACAACAACAACAACAACAACAACAACAACAACAACAACAACAACAACCAAAAAAAAAACTCACCTCCTCCCCAACATACCGCTCCACAATCGCAAACCGCCTCGGCTCCTCAAAATCCTGCATCACGAACCAACTCAGCGTCTCGGGGTCCTTGCTGTACACCTGGCTCGCCTCGACAAGCTTGTCCTTGAGTTTCTGGATGCAGGAGGCGTCGTTTTTGGCGAGGAGGTGGACGATGATGGTGTAGGCCATGGCTTTGTCGGTATATGTGTATACACCAAGCAGATTGCTGGGTGGACGGGTTTTGGGTTTTGGTTTATGGTTGGCTTTTGATTTGAATCAAGGCTGGAAGTGGAAGCAGGCACTTTACTTCCCAATAAACACCCTACCGTATCGTACCGCACCGTACCCAATCCCGGCCTACCTTTCCACAAACACACGCCCTCGAAGAAGCCGGAAAATCGACGGCCCGAAGGGAATTGATAATGTCGACGTGGGAAAAAGTCAAACCTGCAAAACCCACAAGAGGTTGTGCAAAAATATCCCCGACAGCTGCTGCAGCAGCGTGTACAATATATACCCTCACCCCCACAGCCGGCGCTTCCAATGAGGGGCTCTTCCCAAACGGCCCGACTTTGTGCTTGAAATGGTCCACTTCACTGTCAACACGTGTGAGCTAGTGTACCCATGGTGGCATCATCCGCGCCCCCCGCATGTACCAATGGAATACTGCATGGTGCATATACGGGTACTGTGTACAATGACTCTGGGAGCAAGGGGTGGGGTGCGAGAAAGGTGGTAGGACATGTACGGTACCCTTGGCATAGCGTGGGAAGAGAGCATGGCGTCCCATCACATGTTCATCTCGAACAACCAACCAATCATGAGACACGCATCTCGACAAGTAGTAGTCTCATACTGTAATTCCATGGCCCAGGCAGGCTGAATAGAGAAAAAAGGGTACCTCCCAACACCCTCTTTTCCCCAGCCGCACACGCTTCATCTACTATAAAAAAATCAACATGGCGTCTAGCATGACAATGGCAAAAACGCTCCCAAAGAGGCATCATCCCTCTTCCCGCCCTTCCCCCAAAGAATATAAAAACAAACCCCACCGCCATATGACACATTACCATGAGCGAAAGTCGTTAATGTTACATGTCTTCCCCCCGTTTTACGCCTTGTTCAACAGCTTCAGCACCTCCTCCTTCTCGCTCGTCGGCAGGGTGCTCAGCATAGCCATGACGCCCTTGAGACCTCCCTCGCGATCTTGATTCATCAGTTGAGCAATTTCCATGGCAATGCCCTCTTTCTTGAGCTGCTCGAGCTTGTCGGCCACTACTTGTCGATTGCCTTCATACCACATGGTCGCGCCCATGTCGTCCGTCTCCCAATTGGGCATGTTGCATAGGTGCTTGAGCATATCAAGACCGCGTGTACGTGTCGCCGGTGTGGGCTGTGCGATTGTGTGCGACGGCTGGGCGGCACCGGCAAACTTCTTAAGAATGTACTCCTCGTTCAGACGGCGGCGGAGACGCCAGTAGAAGAAGCGGCGGGCATTTTGCCAGCGGAGTGCTTGGCGGATAACGCCCTTGGCTTGCATGCGTCCGGCGCGGTCGTGTAGATCGGCAAACTGGAGGGCAATCTGGCCGTACACGGGAAGGAGAAGCTTCTCACGCTGGGTCATCTCCGCCTTGATGCTCTGAAGCTGGTCCTGTGGTGTGGAAGGATCGTTAAGCTTCCGCTTCAGGGCCCCGTACGTCGGGTCGTTACGGGCCATGGTCTCCAATTGGCGTTCCTTGCGGTACTTGATACCCACCAGACCTTCAGGCTCCAGAACACCACCGCGAGAGTCCTCGTCGGCATACATCTCCATGTACTCAGGGTTGATCGTAGGATCCACCACGACCCAAGACCCACCACGAAGCTCGCCATATGGAGGAATGTAGACAAAGACGGGCTGCTCAAACTTGACAAGAGCATCGACAATGTACGATCCATACTTGAGTACCTCGTTGTACATGTCACGCTGACCACCAGAGAAACCACGCCAATTGGCAAGAATCATCAGTGGCAGCTGTTCACCATGGTTGAAATCGTTGATGGCCTGTGCGGTCTTGAAGGCCGAGTTGGGGTACCATACACCACCAGCCTCTGATGTGACTTGTTCAATCGAGTCGGGGTTGGCAGGATCTGCAGGCGTGACATTTTCCACAGATCGTGTCTCGACGGCAATGACACCAATGGGAATTCCACCAAGACGAGCACGACCAACAACGACAGTCTTGGCCCAGCCACCAAGAGACTCTTCGAATGAGCCAGTATCGAACAGACCGGGCTGGAATCCATCCTCGTCCGTCTTTCCGGTGATCAGTTGCCGGACGTCAAAGGCAGCTTTGCCAGGTGGGTAAACCGCAACATCACGATCCCAATCGTCCGAAGAGGGGGAAGTGGGCACGGGTGCACCCTTCATGTCGGGCACATACGACAGCCACTTGACGATCTTGGAGACACCCTGGAAGTCGTCATCGGCAGTCATGTGCGACACACCGTTTCGGTACATAATCTGGGTGCCACCAAGTTGCAAGTTGGATGTGTAGACCTCGCGTCCAAGTAGCTTGTTGATGGCCTGGGCACCCGTGAGAATAATGGGCTGACCCTCAATTTGAATGGCACGCTGGCCAAGGCGGACCAGATAAGCTCCGATACCTATCCAATAGTAATTAGCAAAATCATTCTCCTGACTCTCTGTGGGCATACATACCAACTGAGCGACAGGTGACCAGGGTAATGGTAAAGATATCCTCGTAAGCCCTCGAAGTCTCACCAGCGATGAGACCCGAGCCACGCAGCGACTCTACACCAAGACCATCCTCTTGTCCAATGACGGTCGTGATCTGATAGCGTGTCTCGCCATCGACCTCAATCTTTTCGCATATGACATCGTTGCGCTTCCCGTCCACAAAGTGATTGTACTTCTCGGGTGTCAAGTAGAGGTAATCGAACCCAGCCTCTGGTTTGTCCACGTTTTTCCAGGCGACAGAGAAGTGGGGGATAAGCTCTTCCGCAAGGCCAATACGCGCCCCAGAGTTGGCAGAAAGGTAGATTCGGGGAATGCCATTCTTGCGGGCGAGCTCAGAACACTTGTGGAAGAACTTGTCTTCTTGAGGACCGAAAGATCCAATCTTGTACGTGATGTCGTTTGCGATGATGATGAAGCGGCGGCCAAGAGGATACTCTGGTGTCTTGGCGGTAACCATCCAACCGACCATACCGATGCTGTTGTTCCCAGGCTCACGGTTGAGTTCGACCAAGTTCTCAGTGTCATCGAGAACAAGCTCATAGTACTCTGTGCATTCTCCCTTCGGAGGTCGCTTGTCCCGCAGACTAGAAACATTTGCGACAGCAACATCCCAGCTGTTCTCGACGGCTTGCCGGAAAAGCTCAGGGAAGTCGTAGACGTACTGAGTACCCATGAGGTGGGCCTTGTATCTCTTGGGCTGTAGCGCACCCTTGGTCGGGTATGGCGTCGACACAGGCTGCAGGTGGAGGGCACCGATCTTGGTAGTACCACCGATGCTATGGAACAGCCACCTGTTGTTGTTCTCCGTTTTCCTCTCAGCATACATCTCGACCTGGATGACATATCCAGAGGTGTTTGTAATGATCACACGAAGAGGGTATGGGATGCCAGTAGCAGGATCCGTCACAATAATACGGATTTCTGCGCCCGTCACGCGGAGACGCCAGAGGCGCCGACCGAATCGCTCCAAGAATCCTCCAATAGCCTCTTCGACCTCACTTGGGTTCAGCGGGAAGACATGCGAGAAGTTGATGAAGATGTGGTTCATGTCAGCCTGGGATGTACCAACGATTTCCAACGCATCCAAAATATCAGTCATCAGCCTGTCAGTCTCCGAAACCATGTACTCGGCTGTAGGAATTTCTTCGCGGAGACGACCGGAGCGCACAACAGCACGGAGGAAGTAGCGCTTATCGCTCTCGGCACCCTTGCCAATGGCCTCGTAAATGTGAATATTGCGATTCTCGGTGAAGACTGGCTTGATGTTGAATTTGGAAAGTCTACCAAGCTCGAGCTGGAAGGCAAGCGCGGGCTCAACGTGACGGATACTGTCATCCTCCTCATATCTGGGTCCGCGGAAGGTGTAGTATCCCGGGTACGTGCCATCCTTGTGGCCACAAATAAAGGAGATGCGGCGAATACGGCGCGACAAGAGCTCCTCCTTGTAGTCCTCGACAATGGGCTGGATGCGCGATAAAATCTCCTTGTCGTCAAAGCCTTCAATATCGCGGACAGCAATGTTAAGAACACCTGTAAGCTCGTCGGAAGACTTGATATCGATCAGCCCAGACGTAGGAGTGCGCTTCAACGTCAATCCTTCTCGGAGGCTGGCACCACCCTTCTTGGAAGTGCCAACGTTCTTGAAAAGGTCGAGTGCTCTGCTAATGAGCTCGTCGGCATCATCCAGGTATTCTACCGGGACAACGACACCCTTTCTCGAGGGCTCTCCATCCAGTCGATGTTGCCAGGCCGTCATATCGCTCAATGACTGGATGCGAGGCGGACGCTCAAACCCAGGTGTACTAGGCGTCCCGGGCTCCGATGGCTCCACGGCAAGACCGTATTCGGCTTCGCCAACTTTGCGGAGAATGAATTCCCAGGAGAGGAAGCAGGACTGTTCACCCTCATTGTGGTAATTGATGTTCTGGAGTTGGTACGCGCGGTAAGCTCGGCGAGTGTACACTTCAAGAGCAGCCAGAGAGACCCAAGGATCCGGGTGAACGAAGAACTGTGTCAGGACATCAAAGACGGTGTAGCGAGAGTCGACAACTTCCTTGATGACCTCAAAGTTGGGCTCCCGGTGTTCCCATCCACTCTCGCCATACTTCGACTCCACGACAGCCGATCGCAGAATGTGCTCCATCTGCGCGGTTCTCTCTTCCAGCGAGGGCATAGCGCACTGGATGAGGACTTCACGTGCCTTGAGTGAGACCTTGGCCGTCTGCTTGGATTCGAGTTCGGTAAGCTTCTTCAGCGAACTCTTGAAGTACTTTGCGATGTTTCCAACACCGGGTCTGTTGGGGCGGTATAGGTCCAAAATGGCAATTATGAGGTTGTTCTTCGCGCTGACCCGTGCATGCGAGAGAACAGTGTGGACGACGCTCGCGATATCATCACGGTTCGCGTCACGAAGCTTGAGAATGACTTCCTCGTCGCGAGATGCACGCGATGAGAAAAGCGACTCCACAGACCAATACTGCTCCAAGAAACTCGTCATGACACTGTATTCATGAGCCTTTAGGCCTTCCGCATAACGGACAATGACATCATTCAATGGTGCCAGAGCAGATGTCAAGAGCGCAGCGTCGCCCTTGGGAACATTCTCATCAAGGAACTTTTGGAATGTCTTGTTAAGTGCCTTGCTGGGGAACTCCAGGCCACGACTGTGGGCCTTGTCCACAATCTGGGAGAGCATCGTGTCAAGCTTTTGTGGCATGCGGGCGTGTAGAGCGGAAGCCTGAGCATTCCACTCGCCATAGGGTAGTTCTGGGTCCCGAAGCACGTCGACTAATTCCTTGAGTGTGCTCTGCATAATGACTTGATTGTCGTACCCCTGAAGAATATTCCGAAGGATGTGAACAAGGTAGACGAAGCGCTGAGGAGGCTTGGCTCCCATGACTTGTGGTGAGCCTAGGTCGGGGAGGAGGCCGAGGAAGTTTTGAGCGGACTTGACCTTGGATGGGTCGTCCAGAGCAAGGACACCAAGAATATCACCGGCCTCTAGGACGGCACCCGGCTGCTTGATGAGATTGACCATTCCTGCTTCGGAGGCGATCAAAGGCATATACATCTTCATGACTTCAACCTCAGCAAAGGGCTGGCCCTTGCCAACGTGGCTACCATTCTCGACGAGGAACTTGACGAGCTTACCGGGAGACGGTGTACGTAGCTGGGTAGGGTCGTTCTCCTGTTCAAGCAAGCAAGTCTTGCCATCTACAGACAGACGAGTAGCGCCAACCTCTTCCTTCCAGTAGACATTGTGTGACTTTCCGTTAAGAAGGATGAGGAGACCACCATCAGCAAGAGCCCTAACACCGACCGAGCACTTCGACCCGTTAATAAACAGGGTGAAGCTGTCGATGGTCGACCGAGTCGCTGTGAACTTGTACCGGAAGCCTTCGTAGATGAAATCAATCGGGAAGACAGTCTTGAGGACATCCTTGGAAGGCACTTGACCCTTTTCCAAGCTGGTCTTGTACTCGCTGAAGCATGCCTCACTCGCCACGTGTGCTTTTGTGACAGCTCCGCAGATGACTGCAATCATAGGATCTGGTCGCTCTGCAGTCAGCTTCTTCGAGATGAGCTCGTCGAGCCAGCCGGTGGTGATGGTGTTGTCTTCAAACGCGGGTGTTTCGAGCAGCTTGATGAGATACTCAACCGTGGTCCGGAAATCACCACGAATGCTCAGTTCCTTGAGCGCGACAACCATGTGTTTCCGCGATGCCTGTCGGTTCTCGCCATACGCGAAGATGTGGCCGAATTGCGAATCGGAGAAACTGTGGATACCACCAGAGGAGCTAACTGAGAAATAACCCCAAACGTTGGAGCTACTCCTGAAGTTCAGGTCATGGATTGTACCACCGGAGGGCTTGAAACCCTCATCGGGATCTTCAGATGTGATACGGCACGCCGTGCAATGACCTTTGGGGGTGGGTCGTCGCTGAGTCTGACCGCTGCCCTCGTTGGAGAAGTCGAAGTCGATGGGAGAGCTGGTGTGGGGGTCGGCACCGTACAACAATCGAATGTCGCGAATTCGGTGCAGGGGCAGGCCCATTGCAATCTGGAGTTGGGCGGCTGGGAGGTTCACGCCCGTTACCATCTCGGTGGTGGGATGCTCGACCTGCAGACGAGGGTTCAATTCGAGGAAGTAAAACTTGTCGTCAGAGTGCGAGTAGAGGTATTCAACGGTACCAGCTGAGACGTAGCCGACTAGCCTGCCCAGGGAAACAGCGGCCTTCTCCATCTCCTGGAAGGTCTTTGAGCCAGCAACTGTTACCGGTGCTTCCTCAATGATCTTCTGATGACGTCGCTGAACCGAACAGTCACGTCCGAACAGGGAGATGTTGTTTCCATACTGGTCAGCCAGCAACTGGACTTCCAGATGGCGCGCGCTGCCTGCAAGCTTCATGATGAAGATGGGCGATCCAGGAATCTCCGAAGCAGCGGCCTTGTACAGCTGCTCGAAGTTGTCCTCGCTCTCAACCTTGCGGATCCCCTTGCCACCACCGCCTTCAGAGGCCTTGACCATGACGGGAAACCCAATGGCCTTGGCTTTCTCGAGACCTTCTTCCCATGACTTGGTGCAGCCCTTCTCATACACGTGGTCCTCGACCGTGACGATGCCCTGGTCATCTACCAGGACCTCATCTACACCTGATCCCGACCACGGGATGCATGGTACTTGTGCGTGTTGTGCAACGATTGTGGAGGAAATCTTGTCACCGAGCGACCGCATAGCAGAGCCGGGGGGGCCAATGAAGACGATCTTCTTGGGCGAGGCAGCGAGCGATTCGGGGAGTTTTGGGTTTTCTGAGGCATGTCCCCTGGATAAAGTGTCAGCGAGGCAGTCTTTGAGATTCATGCACGTATGGGATGAATGTGGGGGAAGGCTTTTAGACGCACCATCCTGCCCACACAGCGTGGACGTTCATGCGTTCCGCCACATCGACAATGAGCTCGACATTGGCGTAGTTGTTGTTATTGGTGCCACCGGGTACCTGTAGAGCGGTGTTAGCCCTCCCACGCCCATGGCCCCAGAAGAAAGTCATGTGTTGTTATGGACGCACCTCGACATATTGATCTGCCATGCGGATGTACTCCGCATTGGCCTGCAGATCCTCGGGCGTAGCCATGACGGTGAATTGAATCGCCCGCTCATCGCCAAATGTCTCGTATGCCCACTTCCGCACCGAACGGATCTCCTTGACGGCGGCGATACCGTTGTTTGCAATGAGAACCTGTCGAGCACCTCCATGTCAGCAGTTGCACCCAATACTACGACGCCTCCCACAGGCTCTTTCCCAGAATCTCGAAACGCCTTCTTTTCGTGTCCATGTGATGCGTATTGAATGTTTTGGCTCACTGACATTGGTAATGACCGTGTGTCCATCATTTGCAGCGACAAAGTCCTTGACCTTGCCCGGCGCAGCAACGTTGAGATGGTTACCGCCGATAAAGTGGGGAGCCAACTGCGCTGCCCGCGCGCTCAAGCCGCCATTGATGGATGCTGAGCCATTGGCTTCATTCTGTGCAGCGTCGGCCATTTGTGTCGGTTGTCGAAGAAATTCCCATGCACAGAAGCGAGGGAATTCTAGGTTGTGGGGAAAGCGAGCAGTCGGTGCAGGGTCTGGTGGGGGAAGGAGATGGGGCAGGAATCTAGGTAGTCAACGGGCGAGGGTAGGTAGGTAGCTGCGAGAAGCTTGGTCTCTTTAGTCTCGTTGCGTGTGTCTGTGTGTCTGTGTGTGTATATACCTTGGATTGGGAGTGGTCCCCAAACTGTGACTATGCAAACTGTGCGAATGGACGTCTTACAAGTCTCTGCCGGTGGGAGGGGGCCGAAACAGAGGGAGTAGTGAATAGTTTATGCTGACGATGTATGTATGTGAGATGGGTGTCGTGTGATGGATGATGACCACCAAGAGTCTATCGCCGTGCTCGGGAGGAAAGCAGCAGCAACACCAATTGGCATCTGCAAAGGGAGCGATGATTACTTTGGTGCACTAGCAAGGCAAGTGGCACCGCAGCGTGTGTGAATCGCAGCAGGAGATGAGGGGTGGGGTGAAGGAGAAGGAGGAAGAGTGAGGGAGAGTGAGGGCACAGCAGGAGCAGGAGCAGAGAGGAGAGAAAGTGTAGTATGGCAGTCCCTGTGGTCTTGGGCTACGTGTATTTTACTGTATGCCTACCACCGCATGTACACAAGATTTTTTTTTTCTCCTCTTCTTCTTTTGAAGGAATGGCGGAACACCCCAAGCAATCCCCGAGAGCTGTTGAGCTTCGACCGGGTCTTGCACATCGCCAACGATGCCGATCAAGGCAAGGCTCTGCAACCACGATCCCCATGACGCCGCCCCTTGTCAGCCCCGATTCACAGCATCGGTGCATGTCTTCGGGAGCCGTCCGGAATCCGAGCAGCATCGTGCAGCCCTCATCTGGAGAAGCTTCGAGTACTTGAAGATGATGTTTCATAGGCGTGGAGGGCAAAGGGCCGACTGGATAGCCGCACTTTTGAGATCTTGGGGCTTGTTCGGCGCAAAAGGTCTCCTCCCTCCTGCCATCCCCTCCACCTATGAATCGAGGACAAGCCTGTGGGGAGCATTTCCGCATTCGTCTGACCTTGCGAGGCGGCTCAAGAAGCCCAACCATGCGCCCGCCATGTCTCTGTGCGTTGCGCTCTTGCGAGCTGTTGCGCAATCACTCAGCAAGCAGGGAGAGGAGATGGCTGGCCCTTTTAAGCTGCCGCTCGCCCACTCTATGTATTGTGTCTGCCCCGTCAGCCCATGGTTCTCGTCCCCGCTTTTTGAAAATGGTTGACGGTATTGAGGGTACGGTACGGGTACGCAGATGGGTGTCAAGAAGTCCTCCCAACAAACTTGACTGTCTGATCAACACGGCCACATTTGCATCTTTTTGCCGAATTGGAAATGCCCAAGGAACTCCTCCCTTGACTACAGCATGACAGAAATAGAGTAGAGACGCACACATCAGACAAGACCCGTCCTCTACTCAGACATGACCACTGCGGCTCAAGATGATGCTGGCCGGCTCTCCTCCTCCGATGACGAGCACACCGGCCGGAGTCCGTCGCACCCTCTGTCCCATTCGCCAGCCGCGGACAGAAGAGGCGGCTTACCAACGAGGCCAATGGCACTGCAATGGCACTGTACTCTTAGCACATGGAAATTGCGGAGAGTTTGCCTGGCGCAAGCGTGGTGGTGGCGTGTGAGGTAGTCTACCATATCAAGGCGAGAGCTGCCGTAGTACGAACTGGACTGGACCCTGTCCTGTCCTGTCCTGTCCTGTCCTGTCCTGAACTGTGTGCCTGAGCAGCTGTGAGATCCAGGGTCCACAGCTGTGCGTCTGGCCCGGAACGGCACGAACGTGGGTTGACATCAGAATCATACGATGTCCCGGCACAAACCCACCATGACAGTATACACAAGCTTCTTCTCTTCTTCTTGCTTTCCCCCACACCACAAGGAGGCGGCAAAAGCAAGGAGACTCGAGAGAGGACAGATCTGACCAGCGTTCGTTCTCCTCTGGGCCACCACCGTCTGTACATGTTCACTCTCTACCGGTACCGTGCATGGTAACTGGCTGACAAAGGAAAATGGTATTGATGCAACCAATATGTAACCTCGCAAACATTTGGACACGGTTCCCCTTGCTCCCCTCCATCCTCTCCTTCTCCTTCCCTCCTCCTTGTGCAAATCACTCCTCACTCCTTGTGCAAATCACTCCTCACTCCTTGTGCAAATCACTCCTCACTCCTCCCCTCCAAGGTGAGGCATGTCAAAGCCACAAGTGCCTGCCCACCCACAGCCCCAAGCAAAATAAAAAGCCCACGCCAACGCCAAACATGATCAGCAACGAAGCCAAAAAAAACGGATCGAGCCGTCTCGCATGGCCAAACGCCATAAATCCCATGTGGTATAGTCGTGAAATCATGCTAGGTACCAGGGGAAAGAACGAACAAGAACCCTTTCCTCCGCAATCACATGCATATTCACATGCACGGCACCGACACCCACGCCCCACCACCTCGTCCGTGCGTGCGCCCTAGAACGTCTCTTCCTCGCTATAGGTAGACATTTTGCGTGGCTTTGCAGGAGGACCCATGCCTCCGCCCTCTGCAAACCCAGACGCACTGAACCTCCGCCCCGCGCTCTGTCGCCTCGGCAGCCCGCTCGGCGTTGGAATGCCCGTCTTCTCCATGCCCAGTCTCCGGCCCATGGGCGTCGTCACGCTGCTTCCATCACTGGCACTGCCCGTCTCGCTATCTCGGAGGGACATGGAGAAGGAATTCGAGTGCCCGTGTCCGTTGATGATGCCACTCATCGAGCTGCGTGGGCGTGGCAGTCGCCCCTCGATACCGCTGATGGATCCAGACGGATAGTGGCCCAGAGGGGTGCGGTTGCTGCTCCTGCTGGCCGGTCGTTGTGGCCCAGGTCCGGACGACATGGACGCTTGGCTGCTGGGCCGACTGTTGGATGGCTCTCGCGAACTCGATACCCCAAACGAGAGCCGGCTGACACCAGATGCTGGCGCTTCGCTCATGGACGAGGCGGTCGATGCGTGTGACGCCCGTTTCCTCGAGCTTCTCACAGTCACCGTACTGGGCACATGGTGTCCTATTGCGCTGCCGTTGCGTGGACTCGCCCGCGGTGGAGTCGTGGTCGGGGCGGGAAGTTTGGAGCGAGCTGATTTGACGCGAACCTCGAGTTTCTCTATCTGGCCAATGAGTCCCCGGATGTGATAGAGTGAGCCTGACCTGGGTAGCCCAGCTGGTGCTGCAGCGCTTCCCGTACTTGGTCGTGGAGCCCGTTGGGATACCGTCGTTCGGATCGGCGGAGCAGTACGCCCGGCACTGCCCACTATTTTCCTACCAGTCGTTGATATACTGGGTCCTCTTGAATGTCGTGGGGCTCGTGAGTAGGTTCCCGCTCGTGGTGTTGCCGCAGGGTCGACGCAGGCAACGGATGCCTTGCGCCTAGGCATAGGCGTAGACGGCACCCGTCGTGTCGTAAGAGGCGCATCGGACAAGGGCGGTGATGGCGGCGTAGTATCTGGAGGGAGAGCGTCGGTCTTTGAATGCGGTGGCGTAGAGGCAGTTGTGGGCGACGATAGGTTGGTCGTAGTGGTCGACGCCTCGGAGATGGGCGAACGTGGGCGCAATGCGTTGCTTGCAATATGGTTCGATACTTTGCGTTGGTGAAAGCTCTCAATGGTTGCCTCTGCGACACGCAACTTCTCCTGCACAATCTCCGTCTCGATGCGTAGATCGGACAGCTCGTCTCGCAGGCGCTGGTTCTCTATCCGCAGTGCTTCGCGCTCCTGCTCGCCGATCCTGAGCTCCTCCTCCAGCATGACCCCGCGCTCGATGGCGACGTTGTACTTGGATTCGACATCTTCGAGCGAAGACGTCTGGTTGCGGGCCTGGCGCTCATGCTCATCGCTCTGGACTTCGATGTCGCGCAGCCTGAGCTGGAGAGTGCGTTGCGAGTCGCGCAAGGTGGTGATTTCCTTTTGCAATATGTTTTGCGCATTGTTTGCCTCGGTCTTGCTCTGCTTGTACTTGGCCTAGAAGCGTATATGTCAATATCCAGCCCACAAGAGGGGAGAGGGGGGGGGGGGGGGGGGGGTTGCGCATGCGCGCGCAATGTGCGGCACAGGGTCGAGCATACCTTCCATTCCTCCACATCAAACTCCAGTCGCTCCGCCTTTTCCTGCAGCTTCCGCTCCCGCTTCTCGCTCTCCTCGACATCGCGCTCCAACTCGGCCTCCAACTCCTTACTCGACGCCTGAAACTCCTGCAGTTCCGCATCCAAGGTTTCGTACTGCGACTTGTAGTACTCCAGTTCCTCCTGCATGCTGCTCCATCCTCCACTAGGCGGCGAGGAGGGTGTCATGTCGCCTGCCATAGTGGCGGGAGGGGGGTGGCTGCGAAGCCGACCGGTCGATGGCCGTGTTCAGTCAGGAGAAGATTGCGACCGTTGGGCGGGAGGGTCAGGCAGCAAAGGTCTAGCCAAAACAAAACAATATCTTTGCGTGGGCGGGTTGTTGTTCTGGGCAGAGGTTTGCGCAGTCGGGCGGTGGATCTAACACATTTGGGTGGTGGTGCGCTGGTCGTCCCTGCCTCCTTCTTTCCCTGCCAGTCTGTGTGTTGACTGTGTCTCGGCCGGATGCGGTGTATGCTGGCCGATGCGCTGGCGGGGCGTGGGGAGTTTATTGTACTTGTAAGTTGGCGGGTCGCTGCAATGTCTTCGCCGGGGGCACTTGCAAACGACTTCTTTATTTCCCTGTATCCTGTGGCGGTTAGCAGTTAGCAGTGAGTAGACGGCAGCAGTGCGGCGCGCCGTGGGTTGTCGCGCCCAAGTGTGTGTGTGTCTGTGTCTGTGTGTGATGACAGCACAGGCAGTGGGTGCCGGGTTAGCGCTAGCGCAAGGACCAGTTTCTGTAGGAACGACCCGCGCTTTTCGAGCCCTGACGCCTTGCACAGCTGACAACTGCATGTGCTCGAACAACCAAGCCGATCCCAACCTGACGCCCAACCAGATTTGCATCTTGAACCATGCAAGACCTGACTAGGTATGTATAGCCCAACTCTTTGCATGCTTCTAAATATACGACTCTAGTAGGCTGTTCATGACAGCCATGGACAGTCCATTGATCCCACCAACGGCACACAGTGCCTATCCCTCATGATGGCAGTGTCGACAACTGGACCGTACCGTACAGTACCTTATGCGCAGCTGATACCTCTGAAACACCATGGCCCAGCCACCTACCTAGGTACCTTGCACCTGCGCTTGTGATGCCCGACATGACACTCACAAAGGAAACAATCAACATCGAGCTTTGCTTTTGTTTGGCCATGTTGTGTGTTTCGATAGCCATTTCAGCATGGTCGTGTACTTCTGTCGTCATGCGATGCTATGCTTGTGCCAATACCGAATGGAAAGAAAAGAAGCATGGCTGCGTCAGGGACACAAACCAGGTATACTGTGTAGGTACCTACATATATACACAGTAGATGCGTAACCGCATGACTCGATTATTGCCTGCCAACTACATCGCAAACTCCCTACTAAACTACATTCTGTCAAGTCCCAGACGCTATGGATACTATACAACAATCAGATGCCTAGGGTATATGTACAATCTGCTGGAAATGTTATCACCTTGGGTGGAGTCCATCGGCTCCACCTACTCTTTGATGCCCGTGTCAGGCCCATTAATGTCCTTTACCTCTGCATCCAGCACAGCCTCTTTGGCCTCTTCACTCGCCTTGCTGGCCGTCTCTTTCATCGTCGGTGCGGCACTACTAGCAGCCTCTCTGCTCTGTGACAAGAGGCGGTGTGCCTCATGTGACCCACTTTGTGCAGTGCTCTGTACAGTAGATGATGCTGTGCTTGCTACTTCACCAGCATGCTCTATACCCTTCTCGGCCATCTCTTGAGCTTGCTGTGATCCTTCCGTCACAACCTCTTTGACCTTCTCTGCCGCATTCCCTGCTATCTCGACACTCTTTGCGTAAACATCTGATACTTGCTCTTTGCCTTGCTCGTAGACATGCTTGGCCTCATCCGTAGCCGACTTGCTCCATTCCTCTGCACTGGGTAGTTTCCTCAAAGATTGCACCACGGTGTAGTATAAGCTGATGATGACGGAGTGAATACGATCCTTCATCAGCATAGTAATACCGTGCGAGAAAAAGCCTTTGAGAACTTCAGCACCAAGCCCTTCGTACAAAGCCCAAAGACCTTCTGTCTGCACAATGCGCAGAATGGTGCTGAACACGGTACGCTTCCTTGCTTGCAATGTCCTTGGATGTGTTGACGCGGCTGGGTCTTTCAACTCTGAAGTCTTCCCTTGCGGGGCCGTAGGCTTTTGCGAAGATACTTGTGCGCGTGTCTTGGCCAAGGAAAAGGGATAGGTGACAGTCGATGCAAGAGCTTTGCTGATGGCTGCAAGAAGAAAGGTAGTGCGTGACCCAGGGTCTTCGCGGCTCGCTCTGGGTACTAGAAATCGTAACAAAACCTTGTGCATCAACATGGTGATGGACGGATTGAGCGTCAACACCAGGCTAGCTGAGTAGCCTGACCAGAAACCCTGCCACCCCTTCTCATGCTGGATCTCCCGTACAATATCACGTGTGCTAGACAGCGGGGGTATGGTAGATCCTGAGTGATCATGGCTTAGCATCGCTGCTGTCTGCTTCCGTGTAACAATGTTCTGAATTGGCGTCGTGAAGAACTTGGAAAAGGCTCCTGCTACCACTCCGACACCAATCTCTTCCCATGCTGGCAGGCTTTTGCCAGAGCCTCGTGCCACTAGCCTCTTCTCGCGAACATATGAGTACGCGAGGAAGAACAAGAAGCTGTCTACAACGCCCTTGGCGGTCTCATGAAAGACGCCATTGTAGAATGCTTGTAGGCCCCCTTCTCTCTCGTAAATCTTCTCAATGGCATCGAGAATACCGTCATAATGTGAGTGGTTGGAATTGCGCTGTATTTGCCGTTGAACTTGTAGACGGGTGATGACGATGTCGAGAGGGTATGTCAGGAGCTTCGACACGGCTGTTCCACATGCTCCAGAGAGCGCATGGCCGAGAGCAGGAAGTGCAGGCCCTACTGTGGTGTGGCTGCTCGTATGACGCGAGAGGTGATAAAGTGTAAAAGCGTCCTACAGTTACATGACGATGGTCAGCTCGGTCGATCCCTCGGTAATAACTTGGAGAGTCTAGAAACGTACGAGTTGGGAGTTGTAAACATAGTCTTCTCGAGCCGGAACCTCGCTGGGAGACATCTTGCAGTGCAATGTAGCGGCCAGTTTGTCAAAAGATGTAGTTACAAGCAGGACAACAGCGACGAAACTGCGGGGGAACTTTGAAAGTTGCTGGAGAACGACCGGGTCCGCTTCTTGGTGATACAATACCCCAGGTTCCAAAGGGGGTTGACGTCACAAAAGTTTAAAGCCGAGCTAGCGCGTTCGCTTGTGAAAAAGACTGCCAGAGCTCAACCACACTTCACGCTTCGCGTTCATCTCCGCCTGCACGGCCACCAGATTATCTACACCTCGGCATCCATGTGCACGCTGAGCTGGGAGCTAAACTCCACAGCTCTCAATGACACCAGTATCAGCCACACGCGAAAGCTCAATTGCCACCGATGGTAACGCTTGTGCAAGCGTCGTTGAGCTACCCCATAGTAACACACACACGTCCGCGGACCACGCAGAGAGACGGCCTACGATTGGCGGCTTGTGTCGACCACATACACACGTGCACTAGACGCGATAGAGATGGATCACAGTAGAACGGAGTACTCAAAGGGACTGCGAGAACCCTTCTGGGGTCTTGATCGCAGTTCAAAGTATCCTCCAACATAAACATGCTTGCCTTGGCGAAAATACTATTGATAGGATGGATCGTTTGCAACGAACCAATCAAATTCGCTATCAGCTACATAATGAGGACAACGATCAAAGTTGGGATTAGATGTGTGGTAGTGTACAAGTTCAAAACTATCTCGATGCTATCCCTTCTTTTCGATAGTGCAGCAACGTACTAATACAGCAGCTCATTTTCTTTCATATCCTGCCCAACAGCTTGCCAAACACCATGCTCACTTCTCCATTGCCTTTTGCTTGGGTGGCGCTCTGTATGCTTTGAATGCTAAGTACTCCACACGTGAACTCACATTGGTACATTCTAGGCTAGCATGCTACAATATCGGAATCTATTATCAGTATTCCGAGTACATCATAGGATTCAGTCTCTTAATTCCAAGATGAGTAGACATGGATCATGCATATCATTTCGAACATCAGACGCCCTTACCTAATCTTGATGCCGTATCTTCGCATTTTCCACACAGTCTTTGGCGTTTACTCTATTCTTTTCAATTCAAATCAAGTCATTTTCATGCCACATACAACCAACCAGCTATTTTTGTCCACAGCCTTCGCCGTCTTAATTCTCATTGTGTAATTCAATTCCCCGCAGAGCCAGTCAGAGCAGCCTAAAGCCGCTTTATGCGTACATGTAGACAATGGCCATATAGTCGAGGAGTCTCTGAGGGAACAGTAGGCAGCCAGGTGAAATTGTACGAGGAACACAATGTTTCATTGAGGATGAGGTACTCTCACCATTTAAGCTGTTCATGAGCATTTCAAAAAGTGAAAATAATATAAATCATGACAATAATGAATGGGCTGTTGTATAAAAAACTGGCTTGTAAGCCTATTTTCACCACACACGCCATAGCAACGTAGCAAGCTAATTTTATCCATCTTCACAAACAAACACCCACGCCCTCCCTCCACCCCCGGCCCCCAGAAATAACCCACCCAATCCCATCTCAACCCCACAACAAGGAGAATTCACACCTCCTCACCTCGCCCTTCTCAAACCCGCAGTCCCCGCCCTTGCCCGATGCCAAACCCGAGAATCCCGATGTGAATGCCGATGCCAATTCGGAGGTCACATTCTAAGTCCTGGACTTCTCCACCTTGGGTGCTTCTGCAGATACAGTAGGATGAAATCTGTTGTTCTGGTTTCATAATTATAGTGGGGATGTATTGTGGGTACTGTAAGACGAGAGTAAGATGCAGGAAGTTGGCGCATGTGTGATAGCTCGGTGGTCAGGATGGGCAGTAGGGATGATGTGATTAAGTTTGGGACCAGTGGCAAAGATGATGAGAGGAAGGAAGGTGAAGTTCATTCATGAAGAAGGCCAGGGATAGGGAAAGTGGGAAAGAAAGTGGGAGCTAGAAAAAAGAAAAAAAAAGTGAAGGTGCGTTTGTAGGGGTTTCAGATTGTTGGTTGAGACTTTGGATGCAATGCACACAGCGTATATTCGTTATGGTCGTAATTTTGTTTTTCAGAGTCTGTCCAGTGATGGCCGAGCTGTAAGGTTACACTGCGAGTGCATTCTTGAGCTGAAGATGTCAAACCGGTTGGCCTAATGTGATCATTCAGAGTCCGACTTCTTTGCAATTTCATTAAACCGGAATGACCTAGAAATTCCATCTTGATACAATACACACGTTGAGCCAAACCTTTTCCAACTCTTTTGTCGAAACATTGGCGGAAGTGATTGAAGCTAATCACCGGGGCGCCTGCGACTGATCTAAAGGATACGTGATGTCTGGATTTCCCGCCATCATACCCACTGGATATGGCTGCTGCCAATAACCCTGCAATTCGGGATCAAGCGGTTGATTCGGCAAAGGGTAGCCCACATCTATATTTGCCATGCTTTGATCGAAGGCAGATACTTGATCCTCCCACAACCCTTGCATATTGACATATGGTGGGCCCTGATCGAAACCTGTCGCGAAAGTACCTCCAAATGTCATGGGCATTGCCGTCTGTTCTAGTGGGAAGGGTGGGTAAGGCCTATATTCAGATTCCTGTCTTGGACTTGGAACTGCGGGAGGAAACCTCGCCTCATCAAAGGCTGGTGGTTGCGTTTGCCCAGATGTCTCGTTTGTTGATTCTGACATTTTCCAACGGCTGTGATCTTGTTCCGAGTAAGGCGCGTGATTGGGTGGATGAACGTGTGGCTGGTACCCATCGTGATTTTCCTGATCTTCCGCTAGTAGCTCCTGAGCCTGGCTTTGTAATGCTGGAGCGTAAGTACTTAAAATTTTCCGGATAACATGATGGGCACGTTTCGCCACAGGATCATGAACTTCCATCGCACGCAGCCAGCGAATCAGCTTTTTGACACAACCGATATGGGGGTGATCCTCTTGGCCATTTCCTTGCTTGCCTCTATAGGCCATGTCGAGGAGTAACACGGCCAGAGATTGCATTACTACTCCTGAATTCAGCTAGAGACATGAGACATTGCAATTTCATGAGTACTTACTAATATGCACCACATCCCACCATGGTCCGTCAGAGTATATGAATCGCGGATCTGCCCGGTCGGGGAACAATGTAGTCAACTCGCGAGCAGCCTCAACGCAGATCTCTGCGAATTTCACGTTGGAGCTGACCGATCTATTGCTCTCGCCAGATATACGTCGCTCAATGCGGCAGAGGCAAGGACGCGTTATCAAAATCTTCGTGCTTAAGTGAGAAACTTTGAGCAAGAGCCCATGACGAAAGGTTTTAGATTGTCTCGTGGTATTAGAAGTGCTGGCGAGGGGCAGGGCTACCTTGGCCCATTTTTCCAGCTCGTTGAGCAACTCTGCCACTTTGTTTTGGACGTACTATGCATTGTCAGTACTAAACAACCTTTTGATAAAGACCCGAGCTTGAGCAAATGACCTCGGAGGATAGTCTGACGTAACTAAGAAGATGGGGAAATACATACTAGCCAACTCTGGGCTGCAGTCCGAGGCGAGTAGAGAGTTAGAAGTGCTCTTTGCGAAATGAGTGTGATGTCAGTGTAATGAAGAAAATATTGACCTGCAGCTCCTGATCGAAACTCCCCTTCTAGGCTTGGGTTTGATGAAGAGACATTGTGGTCTGTTCGCCTCCGTGAAGACGGTCTTGCGGTACCTACATCCGCAACTGTTGTCCTACTTTGCATCTTGGGAAGCGAGACCGTGCAGTCTTCAGGAGCGATGACCGGCGGCCGTCCTGTAATGGAGCTTACCAGACACTCAATTGAATGAAGACACCACCAGGTTTGAATGAGTGGCTCTCGTTTTGCATCATTCTGTGTTGGATCTTCGTTTCGTAGGTGTAATCCAAGTGCCATTGCGAGACGCATCGAGAGCCCAATCATGACCCATGCACGGCTTACATGGCCTATGACAAGGAAGTAGAAGGCGAGAGCACCCGTCTAATATTCAAGTAATTCAGTAAAGTCGTGCTCATCGAATGTATCATTTGCTTACGGCTTGAACAAGTTGCAAATTCGGTCCTGAAATGATCATGACTGTGTTCTTTAGGCCCAAGAGATGTACTCCTCGTGTCATGTAGATGAGGCTAGTGATATTTGATCAGCCATTATTTCGTGGGGACTTGCAAAACTCACTGGTCTCTTTCGTCTCCTTTCCAGGGCGCATCGATGAGATGGGAATACTTTGCCCCAATGGCAAAGATCAAGTTCCTATAAATCATTCTATGATTAGCATACATACCACAAGATATTCGCCGCTTGCTCGTGCAAACTAGGCTATGCGAGTATCTCAAAGCTAGCTCTACTAGCCCTGTAAGGGAAAATATTCAAACCTTAGAAAGACGCTCAGGACTCACTACTATCATGTTAATTAAATCAACAGAATTTAGAGAAGAGATAGATTCGTACCATTGTTGCGCGCCACGGATCGGGTACTCGAAAGGCTTGCGCTTTCTCGATCGATCTTATGTACTGACGGAACTGATCTTCGAAGTCGAGAGGTATTAGTGGGAAGGTGTCATGTACTGTGTTCACATAACAGTCAAAGAGTCGTTCCGCTACGTTCAGGTTAGGCATCTCGTAAGGATCGACTGCGATGTCTACTTCAATGTTGTCACTATCGAGGTAGAAAGTGGTGTCGGCTATGCAAAAGATTTGATTTAGTAATACAGCATCCTACCAAAACAGCATGATCACACTTACTGACATACCCCATAGATCCGGGATTCGTATGTTTTCTTCGATCATGTAGGGCTTCAGCGCGTGCATCAGCAGCCTCCCGACTCGAGCCGGGAGGCCCATAACGCTGCCCATATGGGTCTGAGTTACCCGCTTCGGATTGACGCTGGACACTCCGTAGCCATTGGATCTCGGAATTTTGGCCAATATAGCCGGTCTCTCTGGCTTCTCGATTACGCATCAAATCCTCGTTGAGCATATCAACATGATCGTTAGAACCTACTGACGCAGTGACAAATGCCTCTCCACAACGATCGCCGTCTGGTTCGTCGTCGCCAGGTGATGCTTCACGAACTCTTTTGCCCTGTGATCTCACAGACATGGCTGAAGTGTGAGAAATCAAATCATCTTGGGCCTACCAAATATGAGCGATTTTGAGGTCTATCTATCAATACGACCGTACCTACATGCTGCAGCGTGGCGCGGACGATTTCTTGATCATCCTCGCTCAAGCGCGTACTTAAATTCTCGAGAAGAGTAGCGAGGGAAGCGTTCAAGTCCATGGATCTGAGATATGAGTTGGGTTCAAATGTGTTCTGGGGCGATGTGCTCTTACTCTTTTAGACGATCTCGCCGTGCTTGCTCGTACGCGCAATGTGAACCACTTGCCTGGCAATTTGCGCAACACGGCAGGCCTCCAGAACATTTCACTTCTGCATCATGATCAGTATACAGGTCAAAGAGATAGGATGCGGGTACAGACTGCGCTTGCGACATAACTTGCACGCTCTTGTGCTGAACCGCTCTGTCAGTCCAGAAGAAGCAGCAGATAGAAAAATAATTACACTCGCTCCTCCTTATTTCTCGCTTTCACTCTAGGAGGAGGCGGAGGACCACGATCGAGTTTTGAGATCGCAATCTTGGCGCCATGCACGTGGTTGGGGTTGTGGTTTTGCATACCAACTTCTCGAGTACCGGTAGGAGTCTCTTGGACCGCAAACCCCCAACTGTAGCAGTACCAGCCTTTAAATTCGTTGTAGCTTGGAATCCAGCGTGTAGTGAATTATATTGACACGATTTGGTGGGACAGTGACCCAGGCTCGTTGCAGCTGAGCCTCGAGGAGCCGGGAACGGGACTGGTCGCAGGCCGCCGCTCGAGGATAAATCAAGGGAAGCAATGCAATCGGGCCGACGTGAAAACAGTCGTGCATATGTGAAACCTCTCACTGGCATAGAATTTGGTGGCAAATCAGGAGAACGAAGGTCCTGGGTCTGTGATCTGGAGCTGATCTGGAGCTGGAAGACAGGATATTGTAAGAATTTGAGTGCCACCTGCCCCCAGTTGGACGGCAATCTAGCCAGCCAATCAAGATCTTACTGGGCTTAATCCCAGCGCTCAATATGGTATGAGTAGGAGAATAGTTGGAAAGCCGTGCTCTCTCCACAGAGTACAACAACACGCAGTACGGTACTGCTGGTCGGTGTCGCTAACTTACTGAGTTATTCAAGTCCCACATAATTTGACGCCCATTTTTTGATCTTGCTACTTGAGACTTACAGAAAGTAACACAATGTCCCTGCCACCTTGTTCTGCAACCTACCTCCAACATAGGTAGACAACATCACGCGGGCTAACGCGCCATTTCCAATGCATTTGTAAATAACGATAGTATCGAGATCTCAATGTTTTAGCTTTGCGGATGCTGTTGAGCCCGTTAACTACCTATATGTAGTGTCCTGTGGCCTAGATGGGTAGCGAGCGCCTGGGTGACAGCCTCGCATTCACCAAACCCGCCCTCACTGGCTAGCATTGCAAACCTGTGGGATAGAGGTATGGTGTTGATGTACCGTAGGGCTTGCTGAGGCTGGCCACATTTGCTCATCTCGCATTACCGTCGTTACGAATTACTGCATTCGTACCTACATAGGGGGCACAGCGCTTGCGAGCGCACATGAACGCGCGCTTTGTCCTGACGCCTGCCCGCTTATCTTCGCCTGGTCACACAATGTTCAGCAAACAGTATCGTCAACCCGAAGAGTTGGAAACCGCTCTTAGTTGCCTCAACAAAAGTGCTGACGGTAGAGGCAGCATTGACCCGCGTGTCTACCTGCTTCATTTTTAAGTTGCCCTTACAGCGAGGCTCTCTAGGTATATGTGCAGACGTCAAACGTTCGCTGATGGAGAGCAGCCCACACGCCAAAAAAACAAACAATGGCGATAAGTACACATGTCTTCCGGTGAAAGTAATGGCGTGTATGTTCCAGTGCAATCCTCCTTAACAACTTAAGCCCATGCCAAAAAAGAATCGCGCATACCTGTATATGATGACGTAAGCAATATGGCAAGTTCAGTGTGTAGTATTAACATGTCAGCATCTGTCCTGTTCAGTACCTTACCGGTAGGTATCCCAGCGCCGATTAGATAATATGTACCATAGGCTAGGTAACATGGTAGGCTACCTTGAGATCTCTCCACCATCGCACACATGTCCTCCATCAAGGCTAAGAGAACCCGATCATATGGACCTCCTCGCGAAGAATGCATGAATACCACGAAAAATTGCTGGCATGCATCACATCAATATGGTGGGACCCCTCGTCATTGCCCTTGGCCCCTGTATGGTAACCCTACCTGTCCGGTAACGCCTAGTAAAACTACAAAAACCACATCAATAACTAAAAGAGACGATCTACCTCAGAAGCGTGATGAGATCTCTGAGAAGACTTGACGAAGCCATAATTATCCTTCAATGAGAACAATTAGCACACCTCTTAGAGTATGTACCTAACATGTTCAGTGGCGCAAAATGTGAGCACCAACTTTTCTTCCACTGTACTTCATTGGATCAACGTCTGTTGCCCCCCACGGTGTTACGACATGGTTTGCCACGCAGGGGCTTAGGGGCATGCCACAATCAAGGATCCCGATCCACAAAGCCGGGTATCGCAAGATTCAGCCAACTCAGTCCGAATCTTGAACTCGATACGAGGTCGATGTCGAGGGACAAGGCCATGTCTGCAGTGACCACGTGTGCTCCGCAGACTCAACAGTTTGTGCATATCTTGTTGGAGCACGGTATTTGGTATGAGCCATCCTTCGGGTGTAGCCATATTATTTCTAAACCTAGTTGGTACTTTTGATTCTTTGATGAACCATGGAAGCGACCGAGCGCTAAACTAGCGACACCGTAGTCTTATCCAGCATCATGTTCGTGCAACAACAAACACCACACCCCGAATCTCGAATCCCAGAACAGTGAATAGAATATGACTTTTTCCGGGCTCTCCTACGTTGTCACGAATGTGCATTCGTCACATAGCTAGGCTAACTTAGTTAAAGATATCAGAAACGAGCATCTACGATCATGTCTATGCATGGGAATTGTGCCGGGTAATGATTTTATCAACCCGGTGTGCAGCACAGAACATGAAGATGTCACACTTGTCATCTCCACTCAATTAAAAGTGTATCATGATTTCATACCTTTCGTATACAAAAGAAGAGTTGCTGGACTTTCCGTTGTTGTTTTGCGAATGACGTAGCCATCCGCTCGTAGTGCCCTTGCACATTTCAGTCATATATCTGCGCATACTAGCATGGAAATATACACTGCGCTATAGATTCAGGTGCTTTCTCATTAGTATTAGCTAATATCCTGTAAGCTACGTCATACGATTATAACCCTATATTGGTCTTTACTCCATACTTTTGTCGGGACATGAGCTATTTTGTCCACCTATAATCTATCTTCATGGATTACCGTACCTTTCAGTTTTTGGGTGCAGAGGGAGTAGGGACCGTGGCCCGATAATAGAAGAAAAGAATTTGGGATTGGTACAGAAGATTTCGGACATGTGAACGCGATCAATTCACAGCAGCGGTGTTGCTGCGCGCCAATGCTAGTAGGATCACACAAAACCCTGGGTGATACACCTCAAATGTGACACATCGTCGTGCATCCAATACGGCACGTCTTCTTGAGGATGTGCTGCTACTTGTCATCCACTGAGCACATGGCTGCTATCGTGCGAGCTTCCTGCATCATGAAATTTGTTTATATCGTTTTCACCCATTTCATTGCAATAAGTACAGCAGCCCCGTCCTACAGGAATCATGGCGAGCAAGGTCAGTGACTGGATTGAGTTCCTCACCAGTCGCTATGTCCACATTCTCATGGCTATTTCTGGCGGTGACTCAGGGCTGTGAAAGTGTTCCTTCGCCAGAAAGGAACTCAGCATCGAGTGGCGAGCGTTCCACGAAGCCAATGTCATTAATGATGCTGGCATCATTGGCTATATTCATATTGTCAACAACGATGACCTTCCGCGAATTTCGCATCAGCGTCACCACTAATGACCTCAACACCAACAGCCGCGCCTTCATTGTCATCCTCACCTTCTCCACCAGCAAACTCTCACTGCTTCAACATAGAGATTAGCAGTCAGCGTCAACACGTCGGGGCTTGGTATGAGGACATCATCCGCGACAACCTCAAGAGCGAACTGTTGAACAAGTGCACGAAGAAGAAAGTTGGCCCAGTCCAAAGCAAAAGAGATGTTCACCGGTTCGACAATATTTAGTCATCGGACGCGCGCGGCGAGATCTGTAAGAAGAAGGCGGTAGAGTTCAGCGTCACAGAGGACAAGATCCCTGAAGAACGTCGCAAGGACTTGCAGGCTGCTTTCATCGATCAAATTGCAGATGCATATATGATTGCCACAACGGGAAAGAACTGTTATCTGTTCGATCGCAAGTCGACGATACGCCTCTTTTGCAGTAAAGTTTGTATTGCGCAAGTCCCAAGACGGCACCCACCGGACAGACGTGGTAGAGTGGTGAGATGGTGCAATGCGCCCGATTCAGTGAGAGGAAGCCTTGCAGATGGCGATGGAGAAGAGGTTGCATCCCATGAAGGTCAACATCAAGTTCCAGGGGATCACAGATCAGGGCGTTTTCGACTGTGTCCATGTCACAGACGCCGTGGATAGAAACACCCGTGACAATCACATAGGTCCACTGAAAAACGCAATGAGACTCCAGGAGGTGAATGTTGTCGTTGGCTGTTTGAGTAGAGAAGTTAAGGTTAGCTGTCTGAACGAGGAGTGCAAGTATGAATTGGGGTCTTGCTTCGTATGATAGGTGCCCTATGTTTTTTTTGGTCGCTGGGTCTAGACGGGGTCTTTGACTATTGACAGCCATCTATCTAGGGTTGCAAAGAATAGCTTACTCGAATGAAGCACCGCTGTATTCTTGCAAAGTAAGCATGTTCACATACAAACTGTTGTCAACCCTAGTGAGGCGTTCTTCCCAAGTGGTGAAGCACTGACGCATGTGTAGTGAATTTGTCTTGGCGCGTGGCTAGCGTGTCGGTCGCGCCTGCCAGACTTCACGCGTCTTGAAGGCGGGCAGGCAGGTGCGATCGAGCTCCTCAAGGCCAACACCACCCCACCACGCCATGACCTGAACGACTTCGACGCGATCGCATTGCTACATCTTTCGCGACTCCAATCCTATCCAACTCTGCGCTGTGGGCGCGCCCAATCGCAGCGATGGGGTACATTAAGCAAATCACCATACAAGGCTTCAAGAGCTACAAGGACCAGATGCAAATCGAGCCCTTCTCGCCCAAATGTAACGTCATCGTGGGCCGTAATGGTTCAGGCAAGAGCAACTTCTTCGCAGCCGTACGTTTCGTGCTGGGCGACGACTATCACTCGCTACAGCGTGAAGAGCGTCAAGCATTGTTGCACGAGGGCTCTGGATCCGCGGTTATGTCGGCATATGTAGAGGTCATCTTCGATAATTCCGAGGACCGTTTCCAGACGGGCAAGCCAGAGTTCTTCTTGCGTCGCACCATTGGTGCAAAGAAGGACGAATATTCCGTCAATCGCAAGAATGCCACCAAAGCCGAAGTCATGCAGATCCTCGAGTCTGCCGGCTTCTCACGGTCGAACCCCTACTACATTGTGCCTCAGGGCCGTGTCACTGCTCTTACCAACATGAAGGACTCAGAGCGTCTGAAGCTTTTGAAAGAAATCTCGGGGTCCAACGTATACGAAACGCGCCGCGCGGACAGCATAAGGCTCCTCGCGGAAACGGACAGCAAGTGTAGCAACATCGATAGCGTTGTGGCATCGATCAATGAGCGCTTGGACGAGCTAGAGGGAGAGAAGGAAGAGCTAGAGGCATGGAGCAGGAACGATCGAGAGCGCAGGTCGCTTATGTATACCCTCAAGTCCCGCGAGGAGGCAGATCTTGAGGAACTGCTCTCAAAGATTGACCGTCTCGAGAGCGAAGGCCGCGAGATCAAGGAGAGCAATGAAGCAGCGTTCGTGCAGAACGAAGCCGACATTGCGCAAATTGACACTGATATCAACAAGCAGCGAGGGGATCTCGAGCTCTTGGCTGAGGATCGTGCACAGTCCGAGCAAGCTCGAAAGGCAGCTGCGCTACAGAAAGCGAAGATCGAGCTCGAACTGAAGAGCTTGCAGGACAATCAGTCGGTGTCCCAAAAGATGAAGAAGCAGCGCGATGCCAGCGTGAAAGCATTACAGAAAGAGATCGCAACACGCAAAGCTGAGCTTGATCGGTTGGTCCCAAAATACAACGAACAGATGGAAGAGGAGAAGGCCCTGCGATCACAGTTGCTAGAAGTGGAGGGCCAGTTGAAACGTCTTGAAGAGAAGCAGGGTCGCACAGTCTCGTATACCAACAAGAAGCAGCGTGATGATGCATTGCGCGCACAAATCGCCGAGGTCAACACCAACTTGAGCCAGCGCAAGGCTGTGCTTATGCAAACGAACGAAGAGATAACACAACTGGAAATCGACATTAATCAGTATGAGAAACAAATTGACGAATTGAAGTCGTCCATCGCAAACGAAGGGGACAGAAGCGTAGATCTGGCAGCAAAAGTCCAGCAAGCCAAAGACGCTCAAAAGGCCATTAATGACGAGCAAACAAATCTTTACCGAGAACAGAACAAGGTCAACAGAGACCTCTCGAGTGTTCAATCCGAACTACGGACAGCAGAAAACACATTCTCAAGATTGCTTGATCATGGTACCAGCCGTGGTCTTGAGTCTCTGCGCAGATATCAGGCCGAGGGTCCTCTGCCAGGTGTCCATGGTACTGTCGCCGACCTACTCGAAATTGACGAGAGGTACCGATCAGCGGCTGAAGCGGCAGCTGAGGGAGCGCTTTTCAACGTAGTGGTTGACAACGACACCGTATCCAGTCGGCTCATCGACAGACTCATCAAAGATAAAGGTGGACGACTGACCTTCATTCCTCTTAACCGCATACACGTGCCAGATATGCAAATCCCCACAACAGGCGACATGCAGCCTCTGCTTCCAAAGTTGAAGTACGATGATCGATACGCAGCGGCAGTAAAGCATGTCTTTGGTAAAATTGTTGTTTGTCCGGATCTGAGTGCCTGCAAAAGCAATGCAACCAAGTACAATGTTCGCGCCTATACCCCTGATGGTGATAACGCTTCGCGGAAGGGTCAATACCGTGGAGGGTACCATGACCCTTCAAAGTCAAAGATTCGCGCATACCAAAAGGTCAGCCAATTGCGCGCACAATATGAGGAATTGCGGCAACGAAGACAAGACATCGACAGGGACCTGGAGCGGAAACGTCAACAACTGACAGCTGCTGCTAGTGAGGTCCGAAGGCGGGAGCATGAAAAGAATAGGGGTGACAACAGCTATGGACCTATGCGAGATGAGCTTCGTGCAAAGCAGAGAGCACTGCAGGAGACTAGAGATGCACTTGCAAAGAAGCAAACGACGGCTTCGGAGTTACAGTCAGCTATCAACGAACTTGGCGCACAACAGAGCGACTGGGAGGCCGAGATTGCCTCCAAGTTTGAGAAGAATCTCTCAAGCGACGAAGAACAGATGCTAGTGACTCTTACAAGTACGGTGCGAGATCTCAGGCGTCAGTATGCACGCAGCAAGGAGGCACGCACTCTCTTGCAGTCGCAGAAAGTGGAAGCTGAACTTGATCTCAATGAGAACCTACAGCCCGGGCTTGACAGTCTTCTAGCCCAGCAAGGCGGACCAAGTGGCTCCACAACTCAATCGGCCCAGTTACGCGAACAGGAGCGTGCGCTAGAAGCAGTGAATCAGACCATACAAGCATTGGACGAGCAAATCGGTGAAACGGATGCTCAGATCGAGGAAATTAGAGCCAAACTAGGCGAGCTTGAGGCGTTGAGATCAGAAAAGGAATCAAATAATCGACAGTTGGCCAAGGCCATTGAGAAGCAAGAGCTACAGATGTCCAAGAAAGACTCTGACCGTAATCGACATACTGCCCGGCTTGCTGAAGTGAGGCGGGATATCCGGGAGATTGGTACACTCCCGGAAGACGTCCATCGCAAATATGCGCGATGGGATACCACAAAGGTATGCTACCATGCTCCCCGTCTTGATGGCTTACTGACGAGTCTGTGCAGGTTACCAAAGAGCTCACCAAAGCGAACCAAGCGCTGAAAAACTTTGCCCACGTGAACAAGAAGGCTTTTGAACAGTACGAGAACTTCACCAGACAACGGCGAACACTCACAGACCGTCGGGCGGAGCTCGACACATCACGCAAATCAATTGAAAACCTCATCGACGTGCTTGACCAGCGCAAGGACGAGGCCATTGCCCGTACTTTCCGCCAAGTGGCCCAGGCCTTCCACGAGGTCTTCCAGCAGCTCGTCCCCATCGGCCAAGGCCGCCTCATCATCAATCGCAAATCCGACCGCGACGTCCGTGGCCAGGCCTCGGACGACGAGGACAGCGAGGAAGAAACGCAAGCGAAAAAGGGCAGCAAGGTAGCCGAGTACACGGGCGTCAGCATCGCCGTCTCCTTCAACTCCAAACACGACGAGCAGCAAAAGATTGGCCAGCTGTCTGGCGGTCAAAAGTCGCTGTGCGCCCTCGCCCTCATCTTTGCCATTCAAAAGTGCGACCCGGCGCCCTTTTACCTCTTTGACGAAATCGACGCAAATCTCGATGCCCAGTATCGGACGGCGGTGGCACAGATGCTGAAGAAGTTGAGTGGACAAGGAGGCGAGAATCAGTCTGGCGGCGGGCAGTTTATTTGCACGACGTTTAGGCCGGAGATGGTGCTCGTGGCCGATCGCTGCTATGGTGTGAGTTACTCGAACAAGACGAGCAGCATTGACGTGGTGGAGAGGGAAGTGGCGTTGGATTTTGTGGACGGGATGCAAAAGTAGGGGATTTTTTTTTCAGGCTGGCATACATTTTCTCCACGCCGTGGCTGTCAGCCCTTGGCTTACGAGGGAAGTTTTTAGTAGTATTACTTTATACTGTGCGCTATTAGCACGCTTGTCATGTACGTACGTACGTACGTATGCAGAGTCAGAGTCAGGATCAGAGTTTCAAAGTGTGTGGGTGTGTGTGTGATTGAGAGCCAGAGGGATACACAAAACACCATGATTTCCGCCAGGCGCACTACAAGATTATTGCAATTTCATGCAATCCAAGCAATCCCCATGCTGAAGCAGCAACATGAGCAAAACTTCTCCACAAATAAAAAAGCTTCGTCAGCAGCGTGACTGGCGTGCCCGAATCGAACGGGAGGCACGTGCACGGTAGGTACACTTGCTCTACTCACACAGGAGGAGTTCTCTTACCTACGGTACTCTAGGTAAGTAGCTGCTACTACACCTCTAACCGCCGGAGGGGAGGAGAAAAAGCGGGCTATACAGTGATGCCGGTCCCAGGAGAGCAAAACCTGAGCAAACACCAACACTTGTATACCAGCCCTTGATTATGGCGGACGTGGGGAAGATATTGGTTGGTGTTTGTGAGTAGTAGAGTAGGTTCCCGATTGTTGATGTCCCAGTTTTCAATTCCGGGGCTAGAGTCGTACCTACTACCCTACCAGTTATCTCGGCTAGTTTGAGGATCACGTTACTTGTCTTGTGCTATGAAAATAGCCAGGATGTAGCAGTGGCAAAATCACATGATACTCAAACTATCCGAGCGCATGAGAGTTGCCCTACCCTACCCTACCCTACCCTGTCTGTACTGTCCTGTAGAGTAGCTGGTGGCACAACATCGTTGTGGGCCTGGGGCAAGGGGACGCGCAGAGTTTTTGCCACATGTTGTGCTTTGCCACAGCCTGCACTTTGCCACACCTTGGGACCTGCCATGGCCGGCCATGCCATGCTCCCATTGGTGTGGAAGGGGGTGGCCGGGGCAGGGGGCGGCGGGTGGAGGCGGGTGTCGGTTGAGGGAGATGACAATACGATTGAGATTGAGATTGTGGTAGAGATGGATGTGGATGAAGTGACGATTGTGCGAGAATACGATCAAGTAGGCACAGCACAGCACAGCACAGCACAGCACAAGAGAGGGGCAATGGGAAGTGGGACATGGCAGGTTACCAGTTACCACGACGAGTCCATCACACGCCCGAGTTGGTCCTGTTAGAGACCAGACAACGATTGCAATTGCGAGTTTTGGCCATGACGGAATCATGCACAGATGTGCAAGTCCAAGCAAAAGACTAGGTGTAGTAACATTACTTGTTGAAGTGGAGCAGAAAATATCAATTCTAGCAATATTAAATTTTGTTTCCCATTCCTGGGCTCGTGTGGTTCATGATATATCTTCATGTGTCGTTCATGGCATCGTTTCCATGCAATTTCATTTTTCCATCGGCCACGATCCGTGACCGTTTCCCCAGGGTTATAGTAGTAGAGGAAAGAGGGCCCTGCCAGCTGCGCATGTGCTACTCATACAGAAGAAGAAGTAGTAGTGGTGGTGGAAGAAGAAGAAGAGCAGGAAGAGAAAAAGGAAACAGGCCTTTTGTGGCTCCAAGTTTATAAGGGCAGGGGAAGGGGGGTATCAAAGGGTGGTGTGAAGAAAGAGGAGACTGTGTCTCTGTAGATCTGCAGCAGGAAAAGACCAAAGACCAAAAGAAGTAACGAAAGCGCAGTCTGTCCTCATATCATCTTCTCCAGCTCATCCATGTCTTCGTCGTCAAAGTCTTTCAACAGCTCGAGGCCACCGAAATCGTCGCTTTCGCGCGAGCCAAAAGACATGGCATCCTCTGTCTGGCTGTGTTGGCTATGATAGGGATCCGAGGCCATGGACAGACTGTGGTTGCTGTTCTGCCGCGAGCCGGTTGCACGGGCCGACGAGGGAACTTGCATGCCCAAGAGGTCTCCAGCGCAGCGGGCGAGGTACTCGTCGACTGCCCAAAAGCCACAGGCTGCGTGGCGCAGAACCTCATTCTTCAGGCCGAGAACCTCTTCGCGTAGCATGGCCACGCTCTCCTTGAGCATCTTGTTCTTGTTGGAGAACTCACGGGCTCGGCCCTCGAGGCCGTTGATGTACTCCTTCTTGCGTTGCCTGCACTTGTGCGCCGCCACCCGGTTCTTCTCGAGATGGGACTGGCGGGCCGACGAGACCTGAAAGGGGAAGCCGTCGGCGGTGAATGCGTCGACCATCTGCGGCTGCGACTTGGGCCGTCCCCGCTTGCGCTTGGGTGGCTGAGGGTTGGTGTTGGTGTTGGTGTTGGTGTTGGCACTGGCACTGGCACTGGCACTGGCGGGGTCCTGGTTGGGGGTCAGGTTCGGCGGCGAATCATTGGCCGAGGCTGTCCTGCTAGTGCGCCGACGCTTTGGGGAAGGCAGCTGTTGCTGCTCTCCATGTGGCGCAAGAGGCGATTGCTTCGAAGTAAAGTGGTGTTCTGGCCAGAGCGTCTCATTCCTCAATTGTTCGACTGGAATGGAGCCCTCGCGCGAGTTGCGACGAGGCGACTCAGCAGGTGAGTGATCCTCCGGGGGGGTCACTTGGCCAAATCGCTCAATGGTGGCGTGCGAGAGAAGTGAGGGCGGGACGGCGAAGGACTGGGGGAGAGGATTTGAGGCGATGGGCGCACTGAAGGGCCAGTGGTTGGCCTGCTGCCTGTGGCTGTTCATGGCGTTCTTTTCGTCGAGTGCAGCGTAGGCATCGTTTGCCCAATCGAAGCTGTGCGGTGTCTCGATTTCCATCATGGTGAGGGGGCAGTTGCGATGAAGGGTCTGGTTTTGTTTACAGGCGATTCGCAAGCAACGAAAGAAAAAAAAGAAAACCAGTCAAGGGGGAGAGCCAGGTGGTGGACCAAGGACAGGGTGAGAGATGCGGGGCCGGCTGGTTTTGTTGTTCTTGTTGTTCTTGTTGTTGTTGTTGTTGTTGTGATTGTTGGGTACCGGTCGTGGCTGGCGCTGTTTGTTTAATGCAAGGTGATTTCTCGAGGCTGAATGCGGACTGAGTGTACTATCAGTAGTGCAAGAGCGAAGAGGGGTGACAGCGGATGTGTATGGTATGAAGTCCCAAGGGTGGTGGCGAATGATGGTTGAGGTTGCAGGGCGCAGTAAAGGATTCAGACGAGCAGAATGAGGACCGAGGCCGGGGAAAGAAGGGGGAGGGAGCTTGCCATGTACTATAAGAAGGCCGAGTTGTGGTCGAGACGGGACGACGGCCTTGTCTGGCTGGCTGGTTGGCTTTGCTTGCTGGGCTGGGCTGGGCTGGGCTGGCATGGGAAAGCTAAAGAATGGGGCCATGGGCAACATGGGCTTCTGAGAACCCCATCACCCTCGCGCTAGGCTATCTCCGGAAAGCAGCCTTTTGTCTCATTGGCCGACGGAGCGCCCGCTCTGACGCACCTTCTTCTCAGATCGACGATGTGTTGTTTTGTTAGAGTAGAGTAGAGTAGATAAGTACGTGCCTGTACCGGTGCTGCTATTACCCCTTGACCCTTACCAGCTATAGCTCTTATCCCGATCGCTCACAGTGACAAAAGCTCCTTCTTTGCCCGGGCATGCAATCCCCCCTTGCAAGCGGCTATGATGCACACACACACACACACACACACACAGGCATATTGTACTTACTATAGCTACCTACCTACACACACACAGGCATATTGTACTTACTATAGCTACATACTACATGTGTACATTAGTACATGTACATACCATGCACGCGAAGCACATGTCAAGCTTTGCCCTCTCTTCTGCCGCCTTTCCACCGGGGTTTCAGGCCGCATGGGAGTGGGACGATTGTAGTAGAGTAGTAGTAGCAGGTAGGGTAGGTATGCCAGTCATTGCCATTGCCAGTAAGTCGGTCGCACCTGCCCACCAGACTACCTACTCTATCATCTACCCACCGTCTCAACCCTGCAATCAGCAATCGCGACCAGTGACTTGGCAACCGCATAACCCCTCCACTAGCGCCAACCGTGGGGGGAGGAAGAGCCGATCGAATAACCATTTTTCTTCGCAGTTCATTCACGAAAACGGCAATTGGACATGGAACCTGGATCAGCAAACATTCAACAACCAAAACGCCAGACGCCAAACGGCCAACTGACTGGCCCACTTTGCCCATCTTCCCCGGTACAATACCACTCTACACGACACGGTAATACTCTGGTAGTGCTCTAGAGTACACGCTGACGTTGTGTCGGGAATCGGGGAAACCGCCCAGTGCAGCAGGCCCCGGCCGGAAACGCTGCTTCATGCAACCCTTGCTCTTGGCCGCATCCGGCCTCACACAGACACAGGTCTTGATCATCGAGTCCCGATTTGACCGCTTACCATGCTTACTCTTACAACAGCTGCATAGTCGTGGTACTCATAGTACTGCGTCCTTGTAGGAGGGCACGGCTGTTCTTTCTCTCCACCCTGCCAGTCCTGTCCCAGTCGCTGCTGTTTCTTTTTGGGCAATTCGATTCGAAGTCTGCCCATGATCACGTGAAGATGGTCTCTTTGGTAGTAGTAGTAATAGTAGTACTACTACTACTACTCAGGGCGCCCGGGCCAACCGA